CCCATTGTACGTAGCATATCAAAAATATTTTTCGGACACCTAAAAGTATGCAACTATTTTTATTTCAAAAAAACGGGTCAATATAATTTATTGCGTATTTGTAAAAATGCTTCAAATTTATAGAGGAGAAAATTAAAATCAAGTGTCAAAATAGTTTTTGATAATCAATGATGTTTAGGGGTAAAAAAATATTTGGATTCTGTATTCAATTTTTAAAACTTTATATGTACTTAAAAATTTGTTTGCGTTTTATTAAATTGGACGTTGCTTAATTTTCAATATAAATACAATAATTACACACTTAGGTAATCAACGATACCTTGAAGGCGTTTATAAACGCAATTTTAATATTTTATTAAATATATATTTCTACTTCAAACATTATTCTCGCATCAAGTCCTAGTGAATACCAAAAAGCTGTCCTATGAATAATTTGCACATTATTTTATTAATTGCACATACAAAATGTATAAATTAGGCCAATAAAAATAATAATTCTGGTGTTTTTGAAATAATTTTCCATTTAATATATACAACACTTACAGTTTCCTTATAACGAATGTTGTAAAATACTTTTCGAATATGCAAAAAGATTTGATAATAAAAAGAAAAAACCCTACACGAAAAATGAAACATCACACTCAACTATTCATATGTCTAAGCACACACTTTTGATATAGTTGTTTCAATACAAACAAAGGCACTCAAAAAATAATAAATAAAAACAAAAAACTAATATAAAATGTAAAAAAGGATTTAAACAGATTGAGGAATAATTATAAACTATTATGGCTTAAAACAAAATACGATAAAAAACAACTTTAAGAAAGGGACTTAATAAATACGTGAAATAAATAAGAACAAATATAAAAAATAAAATAAATCTTAAAAAAAACGAAGAGCAAATACAAGGCATAATCAATATAAAGAACTCCGATCATAAATATCTAGCAGATAAGTTCTGAATATTTAGTATGTAAACATTATGACATTGAATAGTATAGGAGGCTCTAATCTAATCCACAGACTAACACAGACACCATTCACACCAATACCAATGCATCACATAACGCGAGCGGCTATATTGTGGAAAATTATATCACTATTTAGTGGTGATATATGAGTGAATGGAATTATTCGTATTCTAAGTTTTATTGCAACTTAGATAATAGAATCAAACAAACAAACAGACAACAAATCATTGACCGCATCCATACATACACAAATAACATATTCTTACATACCGAAATCTATATGAAAACTATGAAAATCCCCTATTCTTAAGATAACACAAATACCAATATAATTATTGCAAGTGGTTGCAAGGATTACCTCTTGTTACTATCACACAAACACACATATTCAAATACACACACATACACACATTGAAACATGCATACACACCCAGTATGAAAATCCTCTATCCCAAATGCGAGAGAGAGAGAGTAGTGTGAATGGAAGATATGTAATGTAATAATAATTTAAGAGAAAATACAATCCACAACAGCAATCGCTCATCAAAGCAAAATTTAATTTTAAAAATGAATACAGAAACAAACAGAAAACAAAAATAAATAAAAAATTTAAAAAAAGTATAAATGTTAAATAATTTTTGTTACTATAATTAAATATAAATAAAATGATGAAAAACAACAACACAACAGCAAAACTCAATGAATTCAAAGTAATTACCATGACACTGCAATCTTTTTTATTGCTTCTTTTTTTGAAATGGAGGTAAGTAATTGTAATAGCGGTCGGCAGAGCAATTTCCCGTATTCGCTAATTGTTATATATATATATATATATATATAGTATTCGATGATGTTTTGTGTGTTCCCTATAGATTCATAACCAGTAGAACGTTTTTTGTAATATCTTCCAATAGTAACATAGGAAACATAATATAACAAATAAAAAATTAGTGAAGAGTCTCCCAGTTTCAAATCACAAATAAATTATTTCTCATGCAAATCTCATCGAATTAAAGAAAATTTAAAGAAAAAGAAAATTTGGGAGATATGATAATTAATCTTTACAGTAACTCATTGTCGAATAAATAATTACTCGATATCGATAATTTGGTCCCAGGTATATGAATAGTGGAATGGTGGATTCCAATGTTGTGGATACCTAAAACAGTATTATACACATTCCAAAAAATTTGGTATAGAGTTCATTTTGAGGACCATATTAATATTTATGTTAATATAATGTTATACAAATTTCTCTGGCATGATCAAATGCAACTCTTAAAGATTGTAAAAACAGATCTATTCAAATATATTTATCCGTCTATTTTAGAAATATCCGGCAAAAAGACTATGATCACGTTTACACGAATCCACTGTATGTATATAAACTATTGTTTATGCTATCAACATTTATGATGTTTAATTAAATTTGTGCATTTATCATTTTAGTAGGTTTTAAATTGCTGTCTATGTTGCAGACAGTATTAACGTTTATTGTGCATGGCCAAGTATTTATGAACTCATGCGATAAATTAACATTTATTCATTTATTTGTTTTTGTTTAGTCGGCAGCAGTCGTTTAAATATGACGGCGCTTTAATACAAAAAGGCCATCGAAAAAAATTGCATTTAAACGATATAGAGTGCAATCGATTGAAATTTTATTTTGGATATTTTCTACGGCAATATCAGAAATTCAAATAAGAAATAACTTAAAAACCTTTAGAATCAAAAACACTAAATTTTAAATGAAAGCTTTCCGAATGGAAAGCTTTGTTGAAATCAGTTCAGATTTATATTTAGTTTGGTGCATCATTCACATAAAATCGGACGAAATTTTATATGGGAGCTATATATATAATTTCATCCGACTTTATGTGAATGATCCACCAAACTCCCAATAGTTGTATTTTTTCAATATATATAATTTCGTCCAACTTTATGTGAATGATGCATCAAACTCCCAATATTTGTCCGATTGATAGCTAATTTTGCACAACGTACTGAATTATGTCCGGGTTTATGTGTGCGAATTTTTGTTGAAATCGGTTCAGAATTAGATAAAGCTCCTTTTGTATAGCGAAAGTTTCGTCCAAATTTATGTAAATGGTGCACAATCTATCAATATTTGTGCGATTGGGATAAAATTTTGTATAGCGAATGAAATTGAGTCAAAAATTATGTGTGTTAATGTTTGTTGAAATCGGTTCATATTTAAATATAGGTCTCATATATTTTCGTCCAATTTGGTGGAGGGTATTAAATTGAATTTAGAATGATGTGTATTAAAGTTGCAAAAAAGTGTGCAACGGTTGCTCAATTAGGTCTATGTTTACATATAGCTCCCATAAAAAAATTTTTTGCTCGATTTCATACAATGGTACATCAAAGATCGAAGTCTGTCCGCCTGACATGCAATTTTTCATTGATTTTAGAATGTTTTTTTGTATGTTTTTTTTAATTGGTTCGGCTCCGTCTTTGTGCATATGTTTGTAACAGGCAAAAATAATCGAGATATACCCATGGTTCCTTTTGAGTATACGCATAGAATCACTTTCTGAATCGATTTATGCATGTCCGTCTGTCCGTCCGTCCGTCCGTCAATGTATTTATGTTAACAAAGTACAAGTCGCATTTATGATCCGAATTGTATGAATTTTGGCACAGCTCATTTATATGGCCCAAGGACGAACCCTATTGAAATTCGGAAAAATCGGTTCAGATTTAGATATAGCTCCCATATATATTTTCGTCCGATTTAAGGTAAATGGTGTACCAAAGTCCCTATATATCTTTCGATTTGCACGAAATTTGTCATAGCGTACTGAATTAAGTCTAGAATGATGTGTGCAAAGCTTCGTGAAAATCGGTTCAGATTTAGATTAAGCTCCCGTATATATCTTCGCCCGATTAAAGGTAAATGGTGTACCAAAGTCCCTCGATTGGCACAAAATTTGGCATAGCGTACTGAATTAAGTACAAAATGATGTGTCCAAAGTTTCGTGAAAATCGGTTCAGATTTAGATATAGCTCCCATATATAGTTTAATGTGTACAGAGTTATGTGAAAATCGGTTCAGATTTAGATATAGTTCCTATATATGTTTTCATCCGATCTTTCGATTTGCACGAAATTTGGCATAACGTACTTAATTGCGTCTATAATAATGTGTGCTAAGTTTCATGAAAATCGGTTCAGATTTAGATAAAGCTCCCATATATAAATACATATATTTTCGCCCGTTTTTAGGTAAATGTTGCATTAAAGTCTCTGGAAATATTTTCATTTGCACGAATTTTGGCATAGCGTACTGAATTAAGTCTAAAATGATGTGTGCATAGTTTCGTGCAAATCGGTTCAGATTTAGATATAGCTCATATATATATATATTTATCCGATTTTAGGTTATTGGTGCACCAAAGTCTCTGAAAATCATACTGAATGAATTAAGTTTAGAATGACGTGTGAAAATCGGTTCAGATTTAGATGTAGCTCCCATATATATTTTCATCCGATTTTATGTAATTGGTGCACCAAAGTCTCAATATATCTTTCGATTTGCACGAATTTTGGTACAGGGTACTGAATTAAGTCTAGAATGATGTTGCTAAGATTCGTGAAAAGATCCATAGCTAAGCCGATTGACACAACGTACTGAAGTATTATAAATTAGTCTCTGGCAAGTTTCCCTGAAATAGGTTCAAATATAGATATATAACAAACACGCTACGTATGTTAGAATACATATGTAGAATATACTCAAAGTTGTGAAGGGTATCATATAGTCGTCCCAGTCCGACTTTACTACTTTCCTTAATGTTTTTTTTTGTGAATTCCGAATATTTTAAAGGATTAATGCATTTGTAATTATGTTTTATTAGTTAATAAAAATATCATGGAATCTTAACATTTGAATTACATATAATACTTTGAAGTTTTTTTTTTTTTAATAAAACAAATTCTGTTAGCAAAATATATCGTCACAAGAACATTAAAACATACAAGTAGGATAGGAATATTGAAAACAAAAATACAATTAGTTATAGTGGCTTATTCCAAGGCATATGCTTTTTTCATCATAAATTCGAAATATTCATCGTTATCGATGGAGGCACTAATGGTGGCGTAGTAGTTGATAAATTCCTCTTTCGTTACCTAAATGAAAATAACAAAAGATTTCAATTCAAATTTTGAATTCACAGATAATACTTGAAACATACTTTGCCATCCAAATTACCACGGCCGCCCTCGAAATTATGCAAAAAGTCAGTTAAAATTTCATCTTCAGTCTTTTCACCGCTCTTGAATTTGGGATGTTCGCGGGCTGTGTACACATTTTTCAAGTCTTCCAAGGTAATGACACCATCACCAGTTTTATCCATTTTACTAAAGGCTTTATCAATCATTGCCAAGCGAGCCTGGGACATGGGAGGCTGTTTGTTTAAATAAAGAAAAAATAGAATATTACACGAAAAGAGAAAAAATAATTTATTAAAAAACCCTTTCCTTCATTTTAATACAAAAAATTCATACCCTTAGCTTAAGCAAAAATTCAGTCATGTTAATGGAACCGCTGCCATCCTCATCGAAACTGGAAATAGAAGAACCGTGAAAACAGAAAAAACATCAATAACCAAATATACAAAAAAAATGTAAGTACAACGCTGTAACAACCTTCGGTTATGGCGGGATATGAAATATGAAATTTAAGGCGACATGAAAAGCCGAAATTATTATTTTTCTTCTTATGAAACGTAATTAATATCTTTGTTTAAAATGTGGCTCATTTACCTGCGGAACATCTCCTTAATCTCCTCATTACTCACATCTAAACCACATTCCTTGATGCCTTTGGTAAATTCGTACTCATTTAGGGCTTTACTGCCATCATCATCCATATTGCGGAATATTCTGTAAATGGGAGCAGTTAATGTAAATTAATTAGGCAGCAAGACAAGTATAAAATATGTTTGTTTGTCTATGGTAGGTATGTATGCACGGCAGTGAAATGTAAAAAAATAATTATATCTTTAAAAAATATGTTCTTAGTTGATGCTCTTAGTACAACATAAGCACCTTTTATGGTCTTGTAATCTGCTTAAACGCAAAATGTGGATAAGCAAACGTAAAGTATTAATGAGTTTAATCAAATTTAAATATACTCCTATTCAATATTTATCATTAAATTATAAGAAACAATGTACTATATATAACATTTAACTATTTGGACCAATATTTCGCGGCACAATGCCATAATACCCTGACCCATCGAAATATTGGTTTTAGACCCCATGTTTCTTTGAATTAAATACGTTTCAGCCAATTTGGAGTAAATTTTCAAATGTTCGTCCGTCTGTCTGGCCGGCTGAAGCGCGCGATAACTCTCGAAGACAGTAACTAATATTCTTAATTCATGTCATCACAGTTTTTTTATTTCAAACTTTTAGTTTCTTGTTTTACACCAAAATTCTAACATATTTGCGTGGATCACATTTGGATCTAAATAGAAAAATAATTCTCTTTCTCCTGACTATGGTATGAATCCATATCTATTTACTTTTAATTCATGTTTTCCATTTTTTCTGAATACATAAAATATTGGAGAATTTTTGTTTGTTTCTCGTTTTGTACGCTATTTAGAACCAAAGGGAAAGAAATACATATTGCATTATGTAGATTACAAAATGTACATCCTTCTGCATATATAAAAACTAGATATTCTCTCAATTTTTAGGGATGGGACAAAATTCTTGGTTATTCGGAGAGTGATTCGAATTGAACAATGTACAAAAGTCGGTGTTTGCTCAGAAAATTTTGTATGGGGAACTAAGTAATTACTTCATAATTAAGGGTCGAACAGCGTACGAGATATGGAACAGCGCTCGTCTGTACATGACATTATTTCTTTCAAACATAGTTCAAGTTCGAAGATGGGGAATATCGGTACACTCCTTCCTGTACCTCCCCACAAAATTGTCAATAATATCATGCGTATGGACTATCCGATGATGGGACCCATTGGTTCTCTCCTTCTGGTAACTCCGCTAAGGGTCAAAATTGTCAATATTTATAAATTAAATATCAGGCGAATGTAATGTTCGACTTGAACCACACTTTACACAACCTATTATCTTTCCAAGCCTAGATCAAGTCCGAATACTTGAGTAATTGGTCCACACCTTATAGAACCTCCCCGACAAAGGGACAATATTTTATAAACTTGTAACATTAATTTAAAGTAAATTTATTCTTGAACCTCACTGACAAAGGGAAAATATTTTATAAACTTGTAACATTAATTTAAAGTAAATTGAATAGCCGATTTGATCGAAGCGAATAATAGAACCTGTGTGTAATTCTAACATCGCCACAAATCATAGGCTATATCTGTCGGCAACACCGACAGACAATTTTTAAATGAAAATAACACCATATTGCTTTTCCATGGCTACATCTGCTGAATCTAATGGAAAAGACGATAAGTCTACGGTTTATAGAAATTAATTTGCGAAGTTACAAGCTGAATGGCACAATTAATGTATACACTAACGCCAGCCTTAGGACGTCCTGATTTGCATCGCTTGTTAACTGATTTAATCTGATTTGCTGATTAATATGATGAATATGAATTAATATGACTAATGAATTAATATGACTAATATTTCATTTGCTTCGGGATTCTCCGTTCCACCATAAATAGGGAAATCGGGGATTTTTTCATTAAAAATGAAAAACTTGAAGTGCCAAAACCATTAACCATAACCATTTTGCAAAAATCAAATGTAAACATACAATACCACACTAAATTTAGTTATTCTTCAAAAAAATATGCAAATATTTTTATAAATTATATTGGAAAACATTGATATAAAATTTTCCAAAAAACAAACAATTTAAAATTCCGATAAGTATAATATTTTGAACAAAAACCATAAAATGCACTCACCTGCCCAATCCATTGATACCGGTGGCACCGCGAGACAAACATAAGGCACGTAATTTTGTTATGGGATCCATATCGCCTGCCGATAACTGGGCCAATGACTTATTGACAATGTTAGCTTCGAGCTGTTGGAAATCCTGCAGCAATAAAAATATTCATATCAATACTGTGACAATAATTGCGGTTAGCCGAAGTGGAATGAACTCAGTGTTATTAAAATTATAAACAATTAAGAAATTCTCACTTTGTTCTCTCTATTCGGTTTAACTTTTGATACATTCAATTTAATACAAGGAATTAATAATTTACGCAATTTTATTCATTATCGGACAGGCGACATAAACACACAAACAGGCACGCAGTCAGACACATACATGCAAGCAAACGGACACACTCAACCACAGTTGAAGCGGAGTTAATATTAAATAGTTGTTGTTAATAAGCGGCAATTTTTCCTTTCAGTTAAATTAATTAAGCATAACTGCACAATGCGATATTAATTGATTGTTGTTGTGTGTGTTTTTATTACCGAACATGAATACTGGACAGACAAAATAAGACAAACCACAATGATTATTGCTTTCTTTTTTATATCCAGATATGTACATATATGTATATGCGTATTGGTTTATTATTATTTATTTTTTTTATTGTCTACAACTACGGCAATACAGTAAAGACTGGCTAATGTAAACAGTAAAGGAAATAATTAACAACTATAAAATGTAAGTGAACACTTTGAGTTTTATGTTAGGAATTACGGTTTCATTCACACTTTTAAAAACGTTTTGGTTGAAATGTTCCTAACTATAAGCATTTCAAGATTATATGTGCTATAAACAAAATTGTTTCTTCGATGCTGCCAAAACTAACAAAATACTTAAGATCGTATGACATTTATAAGGAGCTGTACCGAAGCTTAGACCGTTATCGGATATTTTATACCCGAAAGCAAAACTTCCATATGATTTGTTTGGGAATTAGTGCAAAATAGTCTCAAAGGGTCTACTATGTCTTTTTTTCAAACTTACATAAAATGGTTCAATGAAATAAGACTTAGTAATTGATGAAATTAAAATTATTGATGAAAAAAGTGCATATTTTTGAAGATTGACAAAGTTTTCTTTTATGACAAAGTACGTGCCAAAATATCATATTCGGAACCAACTGCCCCAATAATAATGTTCGCAAACCAAAAAGTTTTTTTTTTGACTGGTCGCACAAATTAATCTTATTTTTTTTAGTATCGACATGAACGGACAACCGTTTTAGAGCAATTTCATATTTTCCATTTTCTTACTCAACAGTAGCACTTATTTAGCTCAGAAACTGCTACATAGTTTATTAAAATAATACATATAGCTATTGCATGCAATAACAAAATCATGCATAGGCATTCAAATCATGTAATATTGTCACGGTGAACTGAACAAATGTAGGTTTGGAGGCGTCCAGTAACATTCACGTGACTTTGCCCGTATAAGCGTAACAATTGATACACAATACAAATATACTCAACATCTACTTATACTTACATTTATAGATTTCGCTTGTAATGACAGACGACATGACATTAGTAAAAACGTTACAATCAATAAAAGCTTGGGGACCCATCCCTTGGTCTATTAAAGAAATGACACAAAATTAGTCAAAAAGGACGGCTAAGTAAGAAAACAATACAAAATATGTGGGTCTTGTAGTCATTAAGATAAGTACTATTACTATAATAGATTCCACCTTCAATTGGTTGTATCGGTAGTGTATGTGTGTTTGTATATATGTGCGTGTGTTTTGAATTGTCAAATTGTGTATGTGCAGGTGTTTGTTGTGTATACACTTTGTAGGGTTTCCAGGTTGTTTCTTTTAATAACTCCAACTTGTGCTAACACAATAATAACGAGTATACAAAAATAAATCAAAGTTGTCATCAGGTTCTAATGTATGATTTTTCGATACAAGCACTGCATCCACACAAAAAGGATGCTGACATTTTGAAGCCGGATTCCCGGTGTTTTTTTAATTTTTTCTTATAATTAGGACGCGCAACCAGATAATTGACAAAAAAATAAATTTTTTCTAAATGGAATTTTAAAAGAATTTTATAATTTCCCACATACACGTTGACTCATATATAACCTCTTTCAAATTGCATTTAAAAATAAATAAAACTGTATGCAAAAATTCAGCACCTTATCCCAATTCATTTGAATAATTAATAAAACGTTCTGTCAGCTACATGATATCGGGCGATAAGGAACTATAACTAAATCAGATCCGATTTAAAGCTAATATGATACACATCATTTTGGACTCAATTGATATAATATGGTAATATTGACCAAAATCATCAAATTTCCTAAAATGGACTATAATCCATAATGAATCTTAACTAAACGCTAAGGAATGAATCACATTTTAGTCCTCAAAATCAATTAGGACCTCTATAAATAATTCCACAGGGTCTGCAATGATTACCTCGAAGAGATTAAGTGACACATGGATGTGGGTTCCAAGGCGTAAAGCATATGGAGGGTAAAATACATATTATCATATTAAGCACAACTATTGTATTAATTATTTAGAGCAATATTGATTTATTGGTCAGGAGTTATTTTTTCCATGCTCGTAACAATGGCAACACTATTTTATTGTATGTATTATTCCTACTTGTTATAATTTCACTAATGTTAATAAAATAACTTCCTTTGTTAGTGGTTAAGGTATTGTTATCGCCACTACATTCCAAGGTAAGGAATGAACACATTCAATTCAATTTCGTGTCCAAATAGCCATAGGTGTTCTAATTAATTAGGCTTGTTATGTACATAATTAATTTACTTTTTAAATGGGAAATTTAACATTTTTTCTGATGAGCACTGTTAAGAGACATATACAGTGAAACCACTCATTCATGAAAAACACTACCACATATGAATTCACCATATATCAGACAAATGTGTGTTGTCACGACAAATTTTGTGGCTAATGTTCTAAGTTTTACTGTATATAATGTATATGTCATTGGAGAATGTTTATAAGACAGGAATGAAGGCAACAAGTTCAACCACCTGTACAAAGAATATTAAAACAAGGAAAAGTGACTGTGTTTTGTCATGTCAACAATTAACAAAATTACCAACAATCATAGTAATGAGATGCATGGAGAGTCCAAATTTATTTAACCTTCTTTAAAAATTATCTTTATTACTAATTTAAATATGTTTAATTAAAATTTATATCGACTGCATACTGACAAATATGAATATTCTTTCAATGACATTCTTCTTGCTGAACGTCACAGGAAAAGTTTGTTTTAAATGTTTTCGACTGCATTTAAAAAAATATTCCAATATATGAAGAAAGCCAATAAGAATTCTAGAATATTGAAGTCAAGCTATATAATGTTTATGTGTACCACGACCTCTACAACAATTAATTACATTTTTATACCCTCCGTTATACTTTCCGTTTGTAACGCATCGAAAAAATCATTTCCGACCCTATAAGTATATATATTCTGTTGTAATCACTGTAACGTCTAAACGAATTAAGATATATCGCCAAAATTTTGCATAGAGTCTTCTGTCTGCAAGCTGGTCAATTTCCATGATGGGCTATATCGGTCCACATTTAGGCATAGCTCCCATAAAGGGTATCCCCAAACTTTGAGTTCTTATTGGGTAGCAAATCTCCCCACTAAAAATTATAAATATAGGTCAATTTTTTCGAATCGCCCCTATACCCCCAATTTTCGGTATTTTAGGGTTCTTAGGCGCGTTTCATAACTGAATTCGCTAAAATTACACTGGGTTCTTATTGGTAACAAATATCTATGTATTCTCAGTTTTACTCTACAAATTATGGAATTTTAAGACGATTTAGCAATCGGTTGTAATCATTACGCTTTCTAAGGATGTCGTAATAACAAACTCTAACCTGACGATAATGAAATATATCATCAGTATTTAGGCAAGTCTCTCATATAATTATAGATCATGAAGGAATGAATTGAGATACAAAACTAAAATATTGGGTTCGAAATTGACATATATTGTCACAAACTCGGCATATCCCTCATATAATGATAACCGGAAATATTCAATAATTCCTACACTATGTAATCAATATTGGTCCTTCTATAGGCATAGCCTCATATAACATTGTAATCTTAATTACAGTAGTTTGAGGATTTTATACTTTACCGTTCATTATCAGTACAGGTTGAGAGGAAAAATCCCCAATGAAAATTGCGGATATTTGTATTTGGTGTACATAATGGTTTACATAAATCGGTTTGTAGATTTATCGGTATAGGTCCACTTTATGGTATGTACCCTATATTTTCATTGGAAGTATATGTCATATACCTATAGTGGAGGGATCGGCCCGTCCGAACATAACGCTTTTTTCATTTGTTAAGATTGACTGCAAGTTTACAAACTAATATGACTCAACTCTATATTAATACATTTTTATTCATTGCATTTATAATTAAGGAAATAATTGTGGTGACGTGGCCTAACTATAACTTATGTTATTTTTGAACATTCTTGCAAATGCATTCGAATGAGTAACGAATTAACGTTTTATTCGATATTTATAAAATTAATCGAGTTGATCATGTGGGAGGTACACGACTATAACGGGAAAAATCAATCCGGACAAGATGCGAGTGCCTGAAAGGGATTTTTGATAGTAATTCTATTGATGAAGGCGGACCGATATAGGAGGTATATCTTGAAATGTGTAAAGTTGATAAGTCGGACTGGACCGACTATATGATACCTTTCACCACTTTGGGTATATTGTACATATGTATCCTTACAATTACATGGCAATGTTCCCTCGAAGGAACATATTCCTGTCCTTCTGCAATCTATGATACGTTTGATTTTATTCGGCCAGTTTTAGTTCGTTTGCGTACCATGGGACAAATTTATAGAAAACGATTTATAGTAAAATTGATGTTAAAAATTTTGTTTTTGCAAAATAGTCAGACTGAATCCCAGTTTGTTGTTTTTATAAAAAAAACAACTATTTATTAGTGGGGAATGTATGGCATTGTTTGCCGAGGGGTAAGGCAGGGAAGACTATAGTTTCGGATCACGCCACAGATCCTCATCAGTTCCCTTAGTTAAGCACACGTAATTCTGGGCTTAATTCAGTAGCCTGGGCAAAATTTCATGCAAATCAAAAGATGTATAGGGACTTTGGTGCACCATTTAGATAAAATCGAACGAAGCTATATACATGAGCTGTATCTAAATTTGATCCGAATTTCAAGTAACTTAGCACACATCATTCTAGAACTAATTCATTACGCAGTAATGAATTTGTGCAAATCGAATGCTATTAATGGCCTTTGGTACACCATCTACGTTAAATCGGACGAAAATATGTATGGGAGCTATATCTAAATCTGAACCGATTTTCACGAAACTTAGCGCACATCATTCTAGACCTAATTTATTACGCTGTGCCAAATTTCGTCAAAACGAATGATATTAAGGGATATTGGTACACCATTTACCTTAAATCGGAGGAAAGTATATATGGGAGCTATATCTAAATCTGAACCGATTTCAATAGGGTTCGTCCTTGGGCCATATAAATGACTTGTGCCAAATTTCATCCAATTCGGATAATAAATGCGACCTGCACTTTGTTTACAATTTAACATGGACAGACGGGCGGACATGCATAAATCGACTCAGAAAGTGATTCTATGCATATTCTCAAAAGTAACCATGGGGCTATCTCGATTATTTTTGCCTGTTACAAACATATGCACAAAGACATAATACCCTGTACCACAGTGTGGTGAAGGGTATACAAATTTAAATAAGGCAAAATCGGAACCTGCGAAATTTAACCTCAAATTCTGCAATACATATTAAAAGATTTATCGAGACTTGGCAACATATTTAACATGAAATAAACCATTTCATTTGCTGTCTACTTGGTATAGATTTTTCTTTACTTCAGAAAAACTCAAAGAGCCCATAAATTATTATTCATATCAATTTTGTGTTGTTGATATTTTTTATTTGATCTCAAAACTATATTGGTTGCATTTGTAATTCGGACATTCCAAATTGTCTGAAACCGATTTTTCAAATAAAACATGGGGTCTAAGTAATGTGAAAAGTGGATTTAGGGTTATACCTCATTAAATATGTTGGTGCATATTAACAATATTATTTTTTAGAAATTACATTATTTAAATCCTATGGACCCAGAGTGTGTGTATGTCAAAACAAATCATTCGACTTGGATCAACAAATACATATTTTACAACTACTTCATAATTTAAGATTTGATAAAAAAATAATAAATCCCATAAGACTAACATGAAATATTTATTTACGGTCAATAAAAAAATATATATAATTCACAAAAATTTCTATATGACCTAATGTACATTGTTTTGTTCGCCGAACACACACACACACAGTAGCAACATTTGACACTGCAAACAATAAAAATCAAAATAAACAAACAAAAGCCGGCAATCACATACATCTAGAAATTATTCAAATGCGTGGTTCGAGACAATTTACCGTGACTCCACACCTACAAATACACATACATCGACACACAAAAACACGACTTTCACCAGATATGAATCACAAATGAATGTGGTGCTACAATTAGAGTTAGACACAAAAGAAGTGAAATAAAATTGTATTTAATGATGAATGGCAAGTATGACTCATTTTGTGTTTGTATATAGAAGTTAAAATTACTAACGAAAAAATAATAATAATAAAAGTGATTTGTAGAACAAATAGACAAAGATCAGATGAACAAACTAGTGATAATAGAGCGCAGATACATGGGTCCTGACACTGGATGTGAAAAACAGATAGGCAAAAATTATTTGAAAATTAACACTTACGAATAGTTCGTCATTCATTTTGTTTGTCCGTATAGTAGCGACTAATTGTTTATGGTGGATTATTTTTATAAGAAATAAAAGTAAAGAAAAGAGATCAACAATTAAAATTAAATATTTCGTTGCTGTATTTCTTATAGAGGGATTCAAAACACATTCAAAACATGCTACCACTCAAATTCACTTCTTAAGAAAAAAGAATTAAAAAAACAAATTACTTAATTTAATCCGAATCTCACAAACTGTTGATATCTTGCGGCAAATGTGGTCTAACTTTGTCGGCTTCACTAAACAAACTGAATTTTCATTGCCAAACAAATCAGACCCCAACCACATAGAGTCAAAACGATCTCAGTATACACAGCAAAAACAAACGTGAACAAAACGATTTCACCTCACCGCAATGAAAACAAAAAAACGCTGATGTGGAGCATTGTTGGGCCGCTCACTGTACGCATACAATTCTTAGTAAGCGTGAGACAAGCTGAAATGGAATGGATGTTGTTTGGATAAAACACATCATGAACCGGTTTTACTATTTTCCCATATTTGTGGGAATACACTAACGTCACAGGTAAAAACAATTATATAAGTAGCTGTCCATATTCGTGTTCACATTAGGGTGTATGTTGCATGAGGGGTTTAAAAATAATAATAAAATATTTATGATCGACATTTCCTATTTAGCGGGTTAATAAGAGATTAATGAAAACTGCATTAAATGAGACCGGCCGGACTTTTATTGGAAATATGCAGCAATGACAATTTAACAAAGTTGTTATCACAATAATTACAAGCAACATAATTAGAGAAATAAAAAAATACCGTTAAATAGACTTATTGATGCATCTCATAAAAAATGTTGAGGTATTGGATATTTTGTGAGTAAAACATTCTTACATTTTACCTTCAAAAACAAAACTCATCTTCCGACTTGTATGTATCTATGTTATATAGTATATATGATGGTTAAATTATCTTTCTTTTTAACCAAAGTATAAATTTTAATATTCACACTATGACATTCCTCATTGAATGAAAAGTAGGAACACCCTATTCAACAATTATTTTACTACTAGAGACAGTAGCAAAATGGTTTAATTTATAAAACAACGTTACAATATGTAACTCAACAAAAATGTATGTATTATTTAAATGCCAATTTAGTTTGGTTTCGTAAAAAATCAATGTTAAAAATTAGATTTCAAATTGTATATCAAGAAATACATTGAAGAAAGTAATTTACGGTGGCAAAATTTGACATAAGCCATAAAGAAAATAGGACTCCGCTAGCGCTATCGATAATAAATGAATTTGTGTAGTTGGTAGATTTCAACACTTACTGTATGCGCAAGGACATTTTATCTTTTTTGAACGAAATTAAATACACTTTGTTTCTTCCACCTTTTCGAAGTAAAACCAGTAAGGAAAGTACAAAAGCCGTAGTTGAAAATGTGCCAACTGTCTGCAAATACTTGTTAATTATACTAAAAATCAAATAAATAATAAGAAATATAAAAGCAAATTTATAACTATAATTTGTTTTTATATTTCTTATTTAATTTAAATGTAATTTCAAGCGTTCCAACATATATTTTTGAACCTATTTCAATAAAATCGAATACGTCATTTTTGTTAAATTACGACTTCAGTGAACTATTTGGTAATCCGACAATCCTATATATGGGACTTATATCAAAGTCTCAACCGAGTTTCTCGGATATATTCTGGAACACAGAGTCAGATTATAACTCTCTTCTGCTTCCCACTTGAATTGAAGTTTTCGAACTTCTGCACAACAAAAATAAATATCAACATGATACTTTGCAGAAATAGTGTTGCCCTACAGAATAAATTGTATTCGTTGTTAATAAGGTTGTCCAGGAAGACCAGTCAGCTGCCTCTCATGTTTGCTGTAAAAATCCATTATTGTGAATTGACTTTCATTATGAAAACGTAAACAAAGTCCAAGTTTTTGACATTAGACTTGACCTTATTAATAGATATTGTTTCCATCATTTGTAGCTGTTTGAGTAAAGTGTCCATTTAAAAATTGTATTTAATGTTTTTTTTTTTTAATTTAAGATTTAAAAAAATATACGATATAATAATATATTTATCTATCATAATGTACAACTTTTATTTTATTAATAATATTCCTTTACATAGAAAAACAAGAATACTCCGACTCCGACTATCAGAACGAAAGTGTAAGTAATTAACTTAAAAAAGACCTGAATTGTGTTCTTTGGTAAGAACCGGATGATTGATACATAACAGGGCCCTGTGTTTGTTTACAAATTGTAATGGACGGACGGACGGACAAACCCACATAATTAGATCGATTAAGCTAGTCGAGATACGATGATCGATATACTAAGAGGTAGATCTGGGAGCAATATTTTGCGGTCTTACAAACTATTGGCGTCAATCACACACACATAAAATGTCTATAAGTGCAGGAAAATGTTTCGTATTGCATTTTTACCTGTTAAGTGTTACCTGTTTTAAGTGTTAATAAACTTCTAAATCCGTATTGACTAAAATTTGATAAAAAAATCCATATAATTTCAGTAAAGTCTCTCTTTTTGATTAGCCACATTTTCCAAATATTATATTTCACATCCAACTCCAAATTAGGTTGGAAACGTCATATATTCATAGTGATTTACATTTAAGTTTCCTCGTATACTTGTTATAACCAACACCAATCTGTTGTACAGAGTCTTATAACAAGATACAGTAATTTCCTGATATATGCACTGTGGAAAAACAAAATACTGCATATGCGTAAACTTATGAACTCATTAGAAACTTTGAGTTTCTTTCCAAGACTGTTTTACGTACGGCTATGTGTTGTGTTGTTTACAGTGCATTTTACTATTAAATGGGGGCCTGGTAACCTTATAGTAGGAACAAATATTTCGAAGGGACTATTAAAGATTTACATTAAAAATGTTAAAATACATTTATGCAGAGTCGTCTGTTATATTTAATGTCTAATATACTCGCATGTGCGTATAAAACCCAGATGCAGAGATACGCATACGTATGTATGTATAAATTTCATTTTGAATATTGATTACAACTAAGTATCAGGTGATTTAACTATTTAAGATAATATTGCCGAGATTGAGGCAAAATGTCAAACCTCATTGCCGTACAAAGCCCATCTCGTTCGAAGATGCACTCGTTTTGTAAACACAAACACAATTTGCCAATGAATTTCAATTTGTGTAAATTCGGTGAATCTGCATACATATTGAATAAATCATAAAATCTCATTCATCCGGATGGCATCGCTCCGGTTACTTACGTTCGAGTGAACTTGAAAAAAGAAACGAAGCTTGCTGAGCTAAATATGGGTACGGTAATGACAACGACTTTCTGAACAGAAGAGTGGAATGTATGAATGAATATAACTTGCACATAAGATTGTGTGTAGCGACTGTCATATGGTGAGTATGAAAAATAGGTGCGTGCCTAGTTCGATTACTTAACGTTTAGTTAATAATTTTTGAGCCTACTTTCCTTATTAAGATTTTATTTAATTGTGATTGAAATTTTAATGGACATAAACATTTTGTTCAATATACATACTTCGGATATACACTTTGAATCTGGCTATAGGTGCATTTATATTCGTTTTTATTTTAAATTTTAGTCTTAAATATATATTTGCAAGCGCCAGAATAATTTAAAATTATATCGCATATATACATGTCGATATAGGAATATACCGGTACACCCTCTGTATGTTGTTCCTCGGCAAGAATACACGACCAACATTCAGGGAATGTGTAGTTAATGTGTGTCAACAGTACACAATCTAAATTAGTGTTTACTCATGTCAACGACAAGTATTAGATCCACATTCACATGTACAGTGTCGGTCAAAATAATTCGAAACAACATTGTTTTTATTGATAATAACAGTATGAAAAAACTCTACAATTACGAAGAATTTTTAAAACCCTAAATAAAATATCAGATTTTCTAAAGTTAAAGTTACATGTCTGTCCATGCATTTCAAATGTTTTTAAAATTTGGCAAAGATCTTTCATTTGTCGTAATGCTCGTATGCTGGATAACTTTTTTATAAAGTGGATGATATGGAATATAGTTGGAATATAGTTATCGATTCGACCAGCCTATTTACCGTTAATCCCTGATTTTTTCAATGCCAGTTTGAGTGTTCACATTATCGAGAATTCACTATACAGTAGTTTGAAGGTATGGACGTTTCGACTTGGCTGTAATTTGAAATTTCTGGTTCCAAGTTGGCCGACATTGGTTCCCTCTTTGGAATATCTCCCAAAACAGTCAAATTTCCTCTATTTGTCGAGATTTGTTTAATGTCTCAGTAATAAAAACCACCGTTCAAGTGGAAATGGTTATGTAGCCAAGCGGAGAGTTATAAAAGGCAATATATCGGTGATTTTTGCAAACAAAATCCCATATTATTTAGTGAGAACAACTCTTGTCTGATACTGTATGTATGTACGTACCCTCAAATAGACAGACAGAAATATCTATGTACAATCCTACCTACAATCAACCAAAGAGAGAGAGACAAAACTTAATCACAAAGTGGGTTTAGAATTAGGTACGTTGTCACATATTGTAGCCGCCTCCCCCTTGGCTGGAAAATATTATTGTGATTCAACATTGGTAGGTAGATAAATTGATATAAACACATTGATAGATAAATATTCAATGATATGTATGTATGTGCATTTATAGCAATAGAATAGAGACAGACAGACTACTGAAGACGATTGTACTAATGGTTGCTAATGTAACGTATTCAACTTGTCATGCCATGGAGAATGTGGGCGGCCTATGAAAAACATGCTACATTTCTAGTTAGGTAGGTGATTTCGCAAAGTACTCTTGTCTCTCTTTACAATTTTGGAAACAACAATTATATCTATTTTAAATACATTCTTTAATATGCATACATTCTTCCAGCACATTGTGTGACTAATGTTTGTTGTTGCTCTAAGTCGCATTGTATACATTTTATTCATTGTTTAACAATGTGACT